TTCTCGGCCGTATTGGACATAATTGGAGTCATTTTGTTTGTCATGTTTGCTTCGGCCGAACCACAGCACTGGGAGGCTATTGATACCGACGCTGACTATACCGTGCTTTTTGATAAGAAAGAAATTGGGAAAAATTTAGAAAAATTTAGTCTTTGATATTACTATTTATTTTATTGTATAGATTGTTAAGTTTTGCTTGTAATGTAAGAATTTTAACTATATTTGAGCTTATAATTGTTTATTTATTGAGTCTAATGATCTCATATTTGTATAAATTAAGACTTACCGCATAATAAATACGTACCAGTACAGTAATACAGTATGTATTTTAGAGTAAAACAAATATATTTCAAAGTTTGAAACGTTTTGCATAATTTCTTAATTAATTAGATTTTAAAATCAAAAATAATTTAATAGCAAATGATATTAAACGTTTAAAACAGGTATAAAAATATTGAGAGAATAACTTCTATTTAAAATTTCTTTTGATAACAAAATTTGTTATCTATTATTCAGTATTTAATACTGAAAAAAACTGATTAACATTTCAATCACTTAATTCATAAATCAAATTAAGTACTCAGTGATGAGACTAATGACTAATTGCATTAAATATGGAGTTTATAATTGATTTTCTCATCAGATAATCAAATAAAAGAGATAATTAAGAAACAAAATGATTTGCAATTTTGAAATAATAATACAATTTGAATGAATTGAAAGCAAAAATGAAATACTGATTGAGAGGTAACTGAGAGAATAGTATCTAATAACTGAAGACATTTCCGAATCGTTTGACAGGTCTTCTCACTCGCTTCGACCTCTCATGCGGTGAGCCATCACTTTGGGATCCAATCATGTCTTCATCGAATCCACTGAACACCAAATCATTGTTTTCATCAGTCAATGATTGGCTGTTTTGAACCAAATCTTCATCACCACTAGTGGTGGTCCGGCCATCAAATCCATTGGCCATCCACTGGGACTTCTTCTCAGATTTCCTCCTCTTTGGTCTACAGTTCAATTCAATTCAATCATTCATTCAATTAATTTTAATCTTAAACTCAAGAGTCAAACCGATTTGTGGCCAAAAATCACAGTTGTCACAGAATCCTCAGATTTCTTCTGCACTTCAATGTACTGACTCTCTTGAGACCTAATAGAGTGACAAATTATCAGATAATGTAACTTTCGTTGTATATTTGGATCGATTGAAGAAATGGAGGGATGAGAAGGCTATCAATGACTCCCTCATCAAAACCTATTATCCAAAAACAAACATGTGATCCAATGAATCCATTTTTCAATCCATTGTACTAGAAATCTAAATTTTAATTTAATTTGCTAAAAATACCATGTTAATTGATTGCTATATTAAAATACTATATTTATTGTAAATGATTTATTCGTATTTTGTAATTAAAGTTTCGAGTAAAATAAATTACATTTTATTTGAATTATTTATATCAAAAATTTGAATTTTAAATACTAGTCTTTAAATCTATTCAATAGAAATATTATCCAATACTGTCCAAGAATATCTAACTTGTAAAAATAATTCAGTAATATATAAATTTTGTACTTTTATATAACATTTATTATCTAAATAACTTGTCAACTTTATTTATAAATCATAAATTTCTTTTATACAGTATATTTAAATACCTGTATCATTATTTTACAGTAGATTAATAGAAAAAACATCTATATCTATAACATTTTACTTGTTTCATAAAATACAAAAATTTGTTTTAATTATATAAATTATCATAAAACAATTGTGTGGAGACATACATGATTTTGTTTTATAAATCTCTAACTAATGTATAAAAACTATTTCTACATAAAAATAAAATTCTGTTTAATGGTATTAATAACATTTATAACAAAAACCATTCATCTAATAAACATAAGAGACGTTTTGAAAGAAATATCTATAAATGGTTCGTGAGATATATGTGACCCAAAGGGGCCAAATGGTGATCACCAACCCTATCATATAGTCTAACAGAGTATTCTTCTGGAGTCCCTTTATTTTCTCTCCCGTTCTCTCCTGTCTTTCAGCAATCGCTTTATCCGAGGCTTTCTTGAGATCATAGGCCAGACCTAACATCGCGAAGAAGTCTATGAAGGCTGTGGCCAGGTTGAAGTTACTTTTCCAGCCGTATTCGCTCGCAGAGTAGTCTTACATTTGAATTTAAATTAATTATTTTTAAACACATGATATATGAAAATCTTATATGATTTTATACAAACAATAGCCTACCGTATGGAAAGGTGTGGTGATAGTTATGATATCCCTCACCAAAACTCAAGTACACCACCGATTGATTCTCACGCGAGGCTATGCCCTTATCGTACGGCTAAATTAGACCCAAAATTAGTTTTTTACTGCAAATTATATCAAATTTTAATACAAACTCTAAATCCAAACAAATGTGCGGCAGAGTTGACGAGCCAGGACTGGTGTAGGGAAAGGACATACCGTAACATATTGCTAGCGAACGAAATCAACAGCCCTTCCGACCACATATAGTAAGGAATGACTGTCGGGAGTACACCCCATATAAGCAGAACTAATGGCACGTAATATTTGCGCTGAAATCTAACCACCGGATCGGCCCAGAGATCAGACATGTCTAGTTGTCGACCCTTTTCGATGACCTGCGGGTGCTTTTTGGTCATAAGCCAACCCATGTGCGCAAAAAAGAAGCCACGATTTGAGTTGTGGGGGTCGGCGTCCGTCTCCGAGTACTTGTGGTGTACTCTATGGTCGCGACTCCACTCGTAGATGTCGTTCTGGAGGGCCAGGGTCTGCAAAATCATAAGCAATATCCTGAGGGATGTGTGAGCCTTATAGCACTTATGACTCCACAGTCGGTGAGCGCCCGACAGTATGCCGAAGGATGCGCTGACGGCCACAATGAACATCCAAATGACGGTCTCGTATTTGGCTGAAGTAATGGCACACCAG